TATTATTGTATATGACTGTGATATAATGACTTAATTATGTTTTGCCTTTAAAGCCCTGCTGCAGATGGGCTATCGCGTGTGTTTGTTTGATCTTAAAACGTGTAACGCCGCAATAGGAGTGAATACATGCGGTTGGAAAATCCGATGGACTGTTGAGGTGGCTAGTTGATACCCTACATGGAGACATTAGTCATCTAGCAACACTAATTTTTTATAAATATTTATAAAAGAGTAGTGAAATAACTGACTGATTGATCCAAAATCAACGCCCAGACGAAAGGGCTGAAGCTAGAATCTTGAAATTTTGGGTGAGGGTCACACTTGGTCAGATAAGCCTGGGTTTTTGAAATTCATACTAGAAGGGCACGAAAAGTACTAAAAGGTGCTAAATATATTTTTTTAAACGTTCCTCTTAAATATAAAAAATAAAGGTCCCTAATGGAGTGTATGATGAGTGTAATAAAGGGTTTTTGGAAATTCGTACTATAAGTGTATGAAAAGTACTAAAATTAACTACTTTGCTACTATTTCGTATCGTGTGAACTGTTAGTACTAAACACTTGAAATTTAGAGAGGGAATAAAGGTTGAGAAGTAGAGTGGATGTGAGGAGGTAGTTTTGGAAGTGTATGCTCATATAGACGAAAACTACCAAATGGTACTAAATTTAGTACAATTTGAATTTGGTGGAACGGATGGAGCCGCAACCCTGATATTTGAAATTAACATTACTGGCGGAGTATGGGATTGGGACATAGAGGCAGTTGGTAATTATGTGTGCGAAAAGTACTACATTTGGTTCAATTATGATTTGGGTGAACCATGGAGCTGGAATTCTGAAATTTAGACTTACAATTATTTGTGGATTCCAGGACTGAGAAATTAAAGTAGTTTTGGAAATTCGTACTTATATGTACTAAATGACACTAAATTCGGTACATTTTAAATTTTGAGAGAACCAATAGAGTTGGAATCCTGAAATTAGGATATAAGATTTTTATTGGATTGTTTAATAATAGTATTTATGGAATTTGTACTTATGTGTACTAAGTGGCACTTAATTTGGTACATTTTAAATTTTGGGAGAACCAATAGAGTTGGAATCCTGAAATTTGGAAATAAGATTACTATTACATTGTAGGACAAAGGAAATTCATACTTATGTGTACTAAATTGTACTAAATCTGTGTAGTTGGAATCCTGAAATTCGAAAATAAAATGTCTATTGGACTGTACGATGCAGGTTGTTATGGAAATTTGTACTTATGTGTACTAAATGGTACTCAATTTTTTACAATTTTCACTTGGGGAACTGAAACTTGAAAAAAGATATCTATTGGACTGTATGATGCAGGTTGTTATGGAAATTTGTGCTTATGTGTACTAATTGGTACTAAATTAGGTACAAATTAATAATGTGGAAAACCAATAGAGCTAGAGTTTAGAAATTTGAAATGGGAGTACCTGATGGAGTACAAAATAGATGCACTAAAGGGTTTTGTGGAAATTCGAACTTTTTGGTTTTCGTAACCTAAAATCGTACTTAAATTGTAAAATGGTACAATTTGTTATTATGAGAAAGGATAGAGCTAATCAAGGTTGAAAAATAAGTTGGATATCGGGTACAAAATGTGCGATCTGCATTAAATGGTTCTAAATTTGGAACAGTTCGGTCTACAGTGAACAAGTGAAGCTGGAATTTTGAATTTTTGAATTAGGGCCCTGTTGTTGGTTGGTTTGTGATAAAAAAGGTGGTTTTGGAAATTTGTTCTTAAAGTGCACGAATAGTACCAAATAGTTTGGTTCAATTTGATATTGGGTGAACTGATAGTGCTTGAAATCTGAAATTTGGTATAAGGTTCCCTTTTTTGTGTAGCCTGGAAATGTGTACTATATTTGTACGAAAAAGTGCTAAATTGTACTAAATTTGGTATTAGCTGAATGGATAGACACAAAATTCAGAAATTTGATATTTAGATTACTGATGGTATCTGCGATTGAACTTGTTGCTTGTGTTTTGGAATGTGTATTGGATAAAGGGGTAAAAGCTGAAATTTGAATTGAGGTCCCTGTTGGTATCTCGTGTTGAGATATACATGTGGATTTCCATATGCGTACCATAATTGAACGGAAAGTTATAAGTGGTACTAAATTTGGTATTGGATAAAGAATTAGTGTTGGAACCCACAAATTTGATATTAAGGTTTCTGTTGGTATCTGGAATTGAGACATGGAGGTGGTTTTAAAAAAGGTGTTCGAAAAGTACTAAATTTGGTATTGAGTGAAGGGATAGGGCTGAAATCATCAAATTGTATATAACTGTTGGTATCTGCGGTTGAGATTTGTAGGTGGTTTCGAAAATGTGTAGTATAATTTTTTGAAAAGTACTAAATGATACTAAATTGAGTACTGGAAAATTTGATATTGGGGTCTTGGTATCTGGGATAGCTTTTTAGAGGTATTTTACAAATGCGTATTATAATTGTACGAAATGTACTAAATAGATGAAGCTAGAATCCCCAAATTTGATATTGAGGTCTCAGTTGGTATCTTGAATTGATTTATGGAGTTTTTTTTCAAAATGTGGACTATAATTGTACAAAAAGTACTAAATATTACTATATTTGGTATTGACTGAAGGGATAGGGCTGGAATCCTCAAATTTGATATAGATGTCACTATTGGTATCTGAGGTTGAGATTTGGAGGTGGTCTGGAAATGCTTACTATAATTGTTCGAAAAGTACTAAATGGTACTACATTTTGTATTGGGTGAATGTATAAAGCTGACATCCTTAAATTTGATATACTTGTCACTGTTGGAGTCTGAGGTTAAGATATGGAGATGGTTTTGAAAATCCATGAAATAGTTATTTGAAAAGTACTAATTGGTACTAAATTGGATATTCGGTGAAGGTATATAACTAGATTCAAATATTGACACATATATTGGTGCATCATTGGTATAGATATTATTTATAGTGTTTATGGTTCAAATATGGAGGTGGTTTTGAAAATTTCAGGATTCCAGCTCTATCCTTTCACCCAGTACCCAATTTTTAACATTTGGTAATTATCGAATATTTTTTATACTACTCATAATTATTCAAAAGTAATAAATGGTAAAAATTTGGGTATTGGGCTGGAATTCCGAAATTTGTGATTGAGGTCTCTATTAGTATCTGCGATTAAGTTATAAAGGTTTTTTATGGAAACCTGTACTACAATTGTACGAAAAGTACTAAATAGTACTAATTTTGGATCACTGTTGGTGTCTAGGATAGAGAAATGTTACTACATTTGGAATTGATGAAGGTATAGAGCTGGCATCCCGAATTTTAATATTTATTATACTTATCACTGTTGGTGTCTGTCGCTGAGATATGGGAATATATTTCTACGAATAGTACTAAATAGTACTAAATTGGGTATTGTGCGAAGAGATAGAGCTAGAATCCCGAAATTTGATATTGAGGTCTCTGTCGGCATCTAATCACATATGGAGTCGTTGGAATAGTTTGGGACAGAATAATTGGATGTGGGTCTATTGCAGTGGTTTTACTATTGTTCTTCTTGGTAAGCCTCAAAATTAAAGATTTTGAATACTTTTTGATGTAAATGGTAGACATTTTCCTATTATTCGTTTCGAAATAGAAAACAATTTGAATAATATAATAAAACCTTCAAAGTCTGAAAATCTAGTAAAACGTATGAAAATTTAATTAATTTTTTTTTTTCAAATTGAAGAAACCAAAAAGGCCTAACGCGAACATTTTGAACGAATCTATAATTTTAAGGTGGACTTTTCGCTAATGAAGTAGCGAGCACAATAATCCATTTTTAGCCACCAAAAGTCAATAAAAAAGAACTTATTTCAGAATTTTTAGTAGGCAAAGTCAATAAAAAATAAGAATGGATCTAATGTAGGGTACCCAAAGAACATATCCGAATTCTCGACTACTTCATAACCCTAGTAAATTGTTTTGTTAATGTCTTAACTGAATAGTGCAACAGAACACCGAACAAGAAAAAAAAAAACTAAGCAATTCCCACACGAATTTCAACCTGTTTCTAGCTCTTCCGTATCTGTTGCCTTCCCAAATAAAAGCCACGCACACTACTACATATACCCTTACAACTATTCGCGGATTTCTTGGATTTGGCTGAACTTCTTTTAATGATAATTATTATTTGATTAGTCAAAAGTGCTTTTAAACGTAGAAGCTCCACGACATTACAGCTTGACACAATATTTCACTCAAAATAATAGTGTGCTGAGTGTCCCGAGACAGCGACAATGCAATTTTACAAGCCGACACACACCCGACCGACTGCCGACTGCTGGCTGCATGGCAAAATTATCCTTAGATCTTGGTGAATATTTTGATTTTTTGATTGTAAGTTTCGTTTTGTGGTTCTCGTCGGGTACTCCAGTTGTTGATGTTGTGAGGATGGTTGGTTCGTTGGTTTGTTGGCTGGTACTTTTGCTGTCGATTGGCAGCACGATCATTTTTAGTGTTTTGTAAATGGAATCTGTAGCAGAAGCAACTAGTTTTGTTGCCGTTGTTTTTGTGTGGAGATCTGCTGCTCTTGGGTCGTCTACGATTCAAGTATGAATTTAAATTAATACCAACATAAATTTGTAAATTTATTTTCGTTGATATTAAAGATTGAATTAACATTACTCCGGGCAATGGCCGTCTCGCAGTAATCTTGTCTCTGTTAGTAAATTCTATTAGTCCGGTTTAGCTGGAGAATTCTTTTTGTTGTTGGACACTATTTGGCGGAGTCTTGATTACTTCATTAATAAAAAGTTCCTTCGTTGATTTTTACATTCCCACTTAAATAGAGGCATTTATTGGCCTTCAGATATTATCTTATCTAAATGTAAAGTTCTAATAAAAAGCAAATTTAAATTGAATCTTGAGAAATGGTTGTTTATCGGCCTTTTTATTTGATTTATAAATAATAAGATTTTTTCGAGCTTTAGGCCATTTTCGGACTTATTTTATTGATTACAATAATATGTTCCCAATATTTCGCAATTATCAAATTGCATCTTCAGGGGCAATCTATTTTAGAAAACATAATTATTAGTATCACAGCATTTTGTTATGGGCACAATTATTTTCCAAAAAAGAGATTTCTTACATTTACATAAAATTGTCAGATTTACTTAACAGCTAATGTAGTTTTTACTACCATTGTCTGGTGTTATTATTGCACTGATTATTTCTACGTATTGCACGATCTCTTCTTTGTCAAGTGTCGATAACAATAAGCTGCATTATCGGTGTCGCTTTTGTAATTGATCTTTTTGTTTGTTGGTATGTTATTTATATGCAGCATCTCCAATGTTAACCTTCTGTTGTAGTTGTTCTCCGCCTGTAATACTCGTATTTTGTCAAAGTTTGGTATGTGGTTGTTAAGTTTACAGTGTTCCGCAAGTGCTGTTTTTTGAATATTGTTTTGGCTCCTTAATTTAATGTCTGATTTATGTCCCGATATTCTAGTTTTTAATTTGTTTTTTGTGGTACCAACATATATTTTTCCACATTTTTCGTCTTTTGTTCCATCACATTCAATGCTATATATTACATTGTGTCTCTCACTTAACGGAATTCTACTTTTGGTATTAGTAAATAAACTTTTTAGTGTATTGTTTGTCCGTGTTGCTATTTGCAGTTTATCCTTGTCATATAAATCGGAATTTTGGAATCTCTCAGATAATCCAGGAATATAAATCATTGATTTGTAATATTTTTCTTGAGATTTGTCCTTAGATTTCGGTATATTATATTCATTTATTAATTTTTCAATTAATAATTTTGGAAAACAGTTTTTGGACAGTATTTTTCGTATTTTGTTTTTATTAGTTTCGTGGAATTTATGGTCGCTAATATTCAATATTCTGTTTATAAGATTCCTACCTGTGTTAATAATCATTTGTTTTGGATGTTTCGAGTGGAAATTTAATATGCGACTCGATGCCGTCGGTTTTTGATACCAGTTCATTTCTATTTTATTGTCCTTTCTCATTACAAGTGTGTCCAGATATGGGATGGAACCATTATGCTCCTTTTCAATGGTAAATTTAATATTTTTGTTGAAATTATTGAAAGTCGTCAATGTTTCTTGTATTGCATTTTCCCCAACAATCATAAATAAATCGTCTACATACTTTGTTAATATCACAGGTTTCGTCTTAAGTTTTTCCATGCAGGTGTCAAGTAGTTTCTCCATCACTATATCAGCTACAATCGAAGAAGCTGGTGAACCCATAGGTAGTCCTTTCTTTTGCCCTCATATTGAAAATATCGATTATCTTTAATACAAAACTTTAGAATACTTAAAAATAAGCTCTTTGACATATTGGTGTATTCCTCAATTTCGTCCCATCTTTTCTCTATTATTTCTAGTCCCAGGTCCACAGGTATACTTGGAAAAAGTGACACAACATCAAATGAGACCATCTGCTCTTCGTCTTTAATCGTCAAGTTTTTAATCTTATCTCTAAATTGCATCGAGTCACTTACATTGTATTTGGAGTTTTTGGTCAGATTTTTTAGAATATTTACCACATATTTGCATAATTGTATTGAAGGTGAGTTAACCGATGAGCATATAGGTCTCAAGGGGAAATTTTCTTTATGAATTTTGGGTAGTCCGTATAGTCTTGGTGCTATAGCCACGTCAGTTTTCAGACATTTTTTCTCTGCCGTCGATATTATATTGTTTTTAAACAATTCTTCCACGAGTTCATTGTTTTTCTTGGACAAGTTAGATGTGGGGTCTTTAATTAATCGTTGGTAAGTCATCATGTCACCTAATATCTCATTCATTCTTTGTTGATAATCATCTTTATACATTGCTACTGTCACATTACCCTTATCCGCATTTAAAATTAAAATATTTTTATTTTGTTTCAAAAATGTTTTGCTGTGAGCCACTGTTGTGTTAATAAATTTGTCTCTGTAGCTATCTCTCATTTTGTTTAGATGTGAGTCTAGCATTGTTGTAAATTTGGTTCTCATTATTTCTTGTTGCTCTTTGTCGTTGTTTGTTTGTATGATGTCGTCGCCGTCAGCAATGACTTTGAATAGTGGAAAGTTCTGTTTGCTAGTTGGTAATCCAAATTTTTCTCCTAACGAGAGTAACCATTTTACATCTTTTGGGAATTCTACGTTAGTTTTATTCACGAACCAGCCATCGTTGAGAGTGATGTTTAGTTCTCTCATTTGGTTTTCTTTTAGTTTGTCAAATTTTCGTTGTTGGACTATTTTGGTTTTGTTGTGTGTTCTTGACATAATTATGTTTTCGTTGTCGTGAATGTTATCAAAATCCTCTTTCCTCATTTGGCTATTTAGACGTTCATCTAGTGCTTGTAGTTCTTTGTTTTTATATTCAAGTTGTTTATGTTTTTGTTGTATCACTAAACTAAGAATTTTGTTCTGAAATATATCTATGTGTTTTTTTATAGTGTTTGGAATGTGATGAAAGTATGGAGTTTTAAAAATATTGTATATGTTTTTCATTGCATTTTTTATGAAGTTAGGTATAATTCCATGATTACGGCAGCGTATGAGAAAGGTTAACGTTGTTTTTATTTTTTCAATTTTTACCTTCATATTTTTGTGTCTGTTTATGCTGTGTCGTATGTTGTTATTTGTTTTCTTGTAGATCATGATTATGGTTTTTGGCGTGCTCTCCGTGTTTTAATTATCTTGAGAAATGGTTGTTTATCGGCCTTTTTATTTGATTTATAAATAATAAGATTTTTTCGAGCTTTAGGCCATTTTCGGATTTATTTTATTGATTACAATAATATGTTCCCAATATTTCGCAATTATCAAATTGCATCTTCAGGGGCAATCTATTTTAGAAAACATAATTATTAGTATCACAGCATTTTGTTATGGGCACAATTATTTTCCAAAAAAGAGATTTCTTACATTTACATAAAATTGTCAGATTTACTTAACAGCTAATGTAGTTTTTACTACCATTGTCTGGTGTTATTATTGCACTGATTATTTCTACGTATTGCACGATCTCTTCTTTGTCAAGTGTCGATAACAATAAGCTGCATTATCGGTGTCGCTTTTGTAATTGATCTTTTTGTTTGTTGGTATGTTATTTATATGCAGCATCTCCAATGTTAACCTTCTGTTGTAGTTGTTCTCCGCCTGTAATACTCGTATTTTGTCAAAGTTTGGTATGTGGTTGTTAAGTTTACAGTGTTCCGCAAGTGCTGTTTTTTGAATATTGTTTTGGCTCCTTAATTTAATGTCTGATTTATGTCCCGATATTCTAGTTTTTAATTTGTTTTTTTAAATTTACCATTGAAAAGGAGCATAATGGTTCCATCCCATATCTGGACACACTTGTAATGAGAAAGGACAATAAAATAGAAATGAACTGGTATCAAAAACCGACGGCATCGAGTCGCATATTAAATTTCCACTCGAAACATCCAAAACAAATGATTATTAACACAGGTAGGAATCTTATAAACAGAATATTGAATATTAGCGACCATAAATTCCACGAAACTAATAAAAACAAAATACGAAAAATACTGTCCAAAAACTGTTTTCCAAAATTATTAATTGAAAAATTAATAAATGAATATAATATACCGAAATCTAAGGACAAATCTCAAGAAAAATATTACAAATCAATGATTTATATTCCTGGATTATCTGAGAGATTCCAAAATTCCGATTTATATGACAAGGATAAACTGCAAATAGCAACACGGACAAACAATACACTAAAAAGTTTATTTACTAATACCAAAAGTAGAATTCCGTTAAGTGAGAGACACAATGTAATATATAGCATTGAATGTGATGGAACAAAAGACGAAAAATGTGGAAAAATATATGTTGGTACCACAAAAAACAAATTAAAAACTAGAATATCGGGACATAAATCAGACATTAAATTAAGGAGCCAAAACAATATTCAAAAAACAGCACTTGCGGAACACTGTAAACTTAACAACCACATACCAAACTTTGACAAAATACGAGTATTACAGGCGGAGAACAACTACAACAGAAGGTTAACATTGGAGATGCTGCATATAAATAACATACCAACAAACAAAAAGATCAATTACAAAAGCGACACCGATAATGCAGCTTATTGTTATCGACACTTGACAAAGAAGAGATCGTGCAATACGTAGAAATAATCAGTGCAATAATAACACCAGACAATGGTAGTAAAAACTACATTAGCTGTTAAGTAAATCTGACAATTTTATGTAAATGTAAGAAATCTCTTTTTTGGAAAATAATTGTGCCCATAACAAAATGCTGTGATACTAATAATTATGTTTTCTAAAATAGATTGCCCCTGAAGATGCAATTTGATAATTGCGAAATATTGGGAACATATTATTGTAATCAATAAAATAAATCCGAAAATGGCCTAAAGCTCGAAAAAATCTTATTATTTATAAATAAATTGAATCTTTTTATTTTATTATATGGAAAAGTGTATGCCAAATGTATGTTACATAAATATTATGCACATTTTATATAATAAAATCAATTTATGACCATAAATATGGGGCTTTATTATATGTGTCCCACAGAGTGCTTAGATTCTAAGTTGACACCACTTTGTGCCAATAAAACACATCGTAAAGTATAAAATGAATGTAACTAGTCGGATGAAGTCAAAGTGACATACAATTTAATCATAGCTTTTAAAGGTTCCTTTTGTGATGATATGAAATCGATCCTGTAGAAATGTCTCCTGGAAGATCTTGTCACGCGTGAACCACAGTAAGGGAAGGGGGTGGGACTCCTTATCAGAGAACCTCTAACCAAAACAACTCTAGCTGTTGAAAAGTTAGAGAGTGACCACCAAAATCATTTTGAACAGCTGAGAAAAACATTTGGAATTTTTTAACTTTAATAATAATGGGAGATTTTCAGTGTGGTAACAGAAGGAAAGAACCGATATATTCTATACATATACAAGATATTGGAATGTTGGAAGTTCAAAGATAAACTGTGAATTAGTTCACGTTTTATAACAGTTGCAATTATTATGAATTTCGATCCTTGTTCATTTCCATACCTGACGAAAGTTTGGCATAAGAACTGCGATATGTCAAGTTTCATCTCTTTTATTTTCAAAATCCACAATTTTTGGGTATGGAAACACCCAAAACAAGCATGATTTTAAAATATTTTTTTAAGAAATTCAGTATTTCAGGGAGATTCAATTATGGTTTAAAACTCCATGAATTTGAGGTCGTTCAAAAATGTCTTCTTAAAAAAACCCCTGTTCTTTATTTAAGGCTCTTTCTAAAAATATTTCCCAAAAAAGAATTTTTTCAGAGAAAATTCCCTAAAAAAATGTTTTTTTGTTAAAAGATCCTGTCTGAAAAGTATTCTTAAAATACATGATTTACCCCAAAGGCATTTAAAATCCCATAATTTTTAAAAGAAGTATTTTTTTAAGAAAATTAACATAAGTGTTAACTCCAAGGTTTTTAAAATATTTAATAATAAAAAAAATTTGGTCGGGAGGTCTTTCAACACATTTTTTAAAAATCACAATATTTGGTTAGTAGGTGCATTCTTAAACTTTGTTATAAATTAATGTTTTGTAGCAGAGAATCAGAAATTCCTTAAAAATATTCTTAGAAACCAGGAAAACTTCGAATAATTTTCTTTAAAAAAATAATTTTTGGCCTGGAAGTGTTCTCTAATATCTTAAATCTTTAAAAATCCCCAATTTTGGCTCACGAATATGTTATACAAAAATCCATAATTTTTGATTCTTAAAGAAATAGCTTAGTGTTTTTAATAAGAATGTATTTCGAAACAATTTCGACAGTTTACCATTTTTGGTCAACCAAAAAGCTTTAAAAATCAACAACTTTTGGTCAGGATCTGCTCCAAAAAATAAGGGTGAGATGAAAAAACTGCAACCAAATTCAGACTGCTGTCATTTCTAAGCCACTCGTCCGACAGCTGTTAAAATTATTCCAGTGACAGCTCTTTATATTGTTTACAAGAGTACAAAAGCATTTTGGTGAGAATTTTCCAGAAAAAAGTTATTCGTAATGGAATTCAAGCGTGATAGAGTGATTTATTTATATTTGGCTGGAAAACCACAAGTGGCTATCGTCAGACCACTCCAACATTTAAATGAGAATAAATATTTGAGTCTCGTACAATCGCTCAATACCGTGATACTGGTAGAGTAGCCCGACATCAAGGAAGTGGACGGAAGAAAACAGCAACATCAGCAGAAATGGTTCGAAAAGTAAAGAAACGACTTGATCGAAACCCGTGTCGCAGAGGCCGAAGAATGGCTCGTGAGCTGAACATATCGCAATATTCCATTCGACAAATATTGAAAAATGAGCTCGGGGTAAAGCCATTGATATCCCAAAAAGTGCAAGAACTTACACCGTAACGAAAAGAAAATATTCTCAAAAGATATAAGGAGTTGCGTGAACTGCCGATCACCACTTTCGGCCAAGCGAATTTGGTTTTCTCCGATGAGAAAACATTAGTTCTCCAGCAGTTTGTAAACAAACAAAATGAACGTGTTTACTTGCCAAAGAGGTCAGCTGATCATGTGCACAATCGGTTGGACACCAGATCTCAAGCGCCGGTCATGGTGATGGTGTGGGCCGCCATAACAGCCGATGGTCGCTCTCCGCTCGTATTAATCGTATTAATGCCGGGTATTATCGCGAAAATATTCTGGAGGGTGTATTAAAGCCTTGGGCACGCAAACACCCAGGAATGGTTACAAAATAAGTTTCCTCGTTTCATTTCCATCACACAATGGCCACCAAAATCTTCGGCTACCAATCCGTTGGACTATTGTGTCTGGAGCATTTTGGAAAGCAAGGAAAAATACCAAAGTGTCGATCATCTCAAGTAAGCGCTTTACCGGGAATGGCCCAAAATACCGTAGAGCAACATTCGGGCAGCGTGTGACGGTTTCATTGGCCGTATGAAGGCCATAATTTATACCAAAGGTGACCAATTCAAAGAAATCTTAACTAATTCTAAAATTTAATGATATTTCCGACATTTTTTGATTTCATTCAATAAAATAAAGAAAAAAATAAAATTATGGCGTTTGACTTTGTTGCAGTTTTTTTATCTCACCCTGTATATATAATATAAACATTTTTTGATCCGACATACCCCATATTTCCATTATATATATTGTTGATAGAAATATTGAATCGAACTAGGGTTTAAAATCGTTATAGTCGATCGATTTGTAGCCATATGGCTGAGGGTATTAAAATCTAAGAAGTTAAGTGGGGTATTCTTCCGAAAAAAAATTCCAAAAATCAGAGATTTTTTTCCCAAAAAAAAAATTAACTCCTCACCCCTTTGTGGGGGAGGTACTAGAAGGATTGGGCCGATATATCCCATCTTCACATCAGATCTTGTGTTGATAATAATATTAAGAAGTGTCGAGTGTGGCAATCTGGTTTTATTTTATATTTTATTAGAGTTATATTTATTCCCAATTTGAACTTGGAATAAACTTATGGAGGTATTTGATGAAGGGGGTCGATATTGTCTATTTTCTCACCTGACACAGAACTGGAAAAAATTGGGATTTGCAAAGTTTGCACTAAATTGAATGATCCTTTCTTGTTTTATTCAGTAAATTATTTTCTGTGGACATTTTGAACTTATGGTGGGGGTGGATTAGGCCGTTATTGCCCATCTCCGAACTCGATTTAAGTTTGGCAACAACATTACGATGAACCAAGTTTAGATCAAATCGGATACTCTAAAACAAACCAATGCACAAAGACAGAAAACCCCAACCAAAGTGTGGTGTTGGGTATAAAAAAGACAGACGGACAAACGGACGACACCCCTAGATCGACTCCAAAGGTCCTAAAACGGATTTTGTCCAAAGAGACCGTTATTTTGATGAGGCACGTCTTGGTCGTATCAAATGGTATATACCCTCTTCAGTTATATGGCTGAGAGAACAAAAAGCTAATAGAATATGGGATATGAGCCTTCATTCGTTTTCCCTGCGGCCATGAAATCGCATTAAGGTCGCTGCCCTAATTTTAGTACAATTTCAAAATTGCATTTTAACAAGGTCTCATTACACTTTTACTAATAATTATTTATGTCCTTTATGAAGGGAAAGTTTATGACGAATTCTCATGATTGCTGTTATATATACGTTTTTTATGTATAAAAAACTCCACTTGATCGCTCAATGAATGATATATGCCATGTCATTCAGTAATTTCTAATTTGGTAAATGTTCTGTTCTGATATTGCAATGGCGGCATTTACAAA